AAACAAACAACTAAAAGGCAGTGTGTGAAATATTTTTTCAACAGTACAAGTCAGCTGGGCTAGCTAGATGATATTTTCCTTGCCAATTTTACATTTGAGTTGCCAGTGTATTCAACAAGGCAAATATGTATATATACAATACATATATATGTCTTTGAACAAGGTTAGAACTCCAATCTGAGTCAGTATCAAACAGGTTTCAGACCCTGGCAGAACTTATAAGTGACAAGGACTCAAAACGAACACATCAAATGTTCCAGTACATCCCAAACATCCGAAATCACCATTTTAAATTTAGCCACTGACCATTTTCAAAATTCCTATTTCATATTTCACAGTTGAATAACAAAATAGTATATCCCACTCGACAGAAAATGAAGTTTGCCAGTTGGGCTTATGAGATTTTATTTTCGCTTGCAAGAGAGAAAATAAAGTAGCCAAGGGCTACTAGGCAGGTGCTTGTTTTGCACACTGCTTATAGGAAGGGACCTGAGAGGCATGAGAACGTCACAAAACTATCAAATCACATGATCTTCAGATAGCATCTGTTGTAAACATGATCAGTCTTATAGCCTAGGGTTTTAATAACCTCTTCACTGGTGGATCCAGATGGGGATGCAGAGGTGAGGAGCCACCATTTTTCAGACACCAAACATGCTAACTGCCCACGCGGTCAGGTCTCTTCGTGACTTGGGTATTATGTGCAACCCTCTTTTTCAAAATCCTGAATCCGCCTCTGCTGTTTAAAGGTTAGGGTTTGATAAATATATACTGTCACTTCAGTACCTCATTGTCTATTGGGGCACTCAAAACAATGTTAATTACTATGAGCAATGAATCATCATAAGGAGGGCTGGCTCTGAATGTATTGTGTATATCTGGATGAAACCGGACATCTTGAATATCCTGGTCATACAGAAGTTGTCAGCTTCCTGTTGTTGAATATGGGTGACGGCTGGGTCAGTGATGAGGATGTGATAAACCACACGACTTTTTAGTGAAATTCATGCATATTCATGGTTCAAACAACCCTTTGGCCTGGGGCATGAATATTAATGAATTTTGTTAAAATGTCCTGTGTATGAACAATTGCTGTGCGTGACAAACTGTGTTTGAGACATGCAGCAACTGAACAACTTATCTCCGGCACATAGCTGTGTGTGGGAGTCATTATACACCTACAGCTGTCAAATGGTCTGGATTTGCCATTGTGTCATACATGCACTGTCAATAGTCTCGTGTAGTGTCGTAAGAGTTATCTCCCTTCCATAACAAATAGTGTTGAAGCCTGAACCAAAAAATGACAATAGCCATTATCACTGACATGAAACATGAGGTGGTGGCTTAAAGTGAACAAAGTATCAAGCTGAATAACGAGTTACTTGCTGATCAGAAACTATTTTCAAACTCGATCATCAGTTGGGTTCTATATGCAAGCCAACTTTTTGCAGGATGAAAGAGCCCAAGGCTAAGGAAGTCTCCATGATTAGCATTGATTAATAATTATTTATCCCCTTTAAAAATGGCATCTAACTTATCTGGCATATTGATGGCACGTAAACACATGCAGAAATATCACCAAGGAATAAACATGGTGGACATTTATTTACAGACACAGCCAGGTCACATATAGCCTGTCATACAGACCCTGAAACAAATATATCCAATTTAGCCCATGCAAGTCTATAGTATTTGACAAATCTAGATTACTGCAGTTGAAGAGTCTCTGGGGGCCTTTTCATTATATTTCATAACTATAATTTAACAACTGTTTATCTGTAAAATATGTTCATTTCAGAGACTAGATGTTAGTCTAGGTCACATACAAACATAGTGGATCTGTTGACAAAAAGATCTGAACCTCAAATTGGGGTGTCACCATAATGATTGTTAGAACAAGTATGGGAGGTTTCTGCTACCTTGTTCCAGTGAATTCTCTGAAAAAAAATTCTAGGAGGGATAACACACAAGACTGGACAAATGGGCCACAACATAAGCTCCCTTGACTTTCAGTCAGATGAGCTAAAAATAAAAGTCCATTTACAAAAGAAATGTGTCCGAGACTGTGGACGAGTCTCCCTCATGTAAAATATCTCAGATATATTTAACCAGGCAGATGGACTAGAGGCCTGCAGAGGATTTGCTCATGTGTAATTTATACAAGTTGAGACTGATGCTCCATATTCTGAAAACAGAAGACTGAAACCACAAATATGTAATGCAACTGTTACAATGGAATTTATAATACAGATAGGTTCAGAAATACATCGCTTATTCCAGTTTTATAGTGCTAGCCAACTGAGATACCTTGTGATGCTGCTGCAGTTTAACATGAATAGATCCCACTCAGACACCGCATACTACTCCCAGCTGACCAATGTGTTTGTTTCATCCTCCTATTGTCGAGAGCTAGGCAGGGTAACAACAAGTACCATTCTTTAATGTCTTGTGGTACAACATGGGCAAGGGGATCGAACCATGACCTTCAGCTCTCCAGGCAGATCATGGAGGCGGTCCTGTGAAGTTAGAATGTTACAACCAAACAGTGGCGCCCGCTAGCCTTTTTGTTTCTGCCCTACATATACAATCTACAAATTCTTAAATATAAAGACAAATGATACAGAGATGTGATTCACCTGCTAATATCAACTTGTGAAATAATAGTACTGCATCGGGATACGGATCATATCACACCCCTAGTATGTACGGAAACATAGTATCAGGACCTCATCATATTGTTATACCTCTAGTTGACCATTATATGTATCTAAATGTGTTCGCAGTCATAATGCATTAGTATAATTCACTCAGCCCATTAGGAGAAGGATGTGCCCTGCTTTGCTGTCATTATCAACATGGATAGATCATCGTGTTACTGCCTCATCACTTCAGTGTACACTGATGATGATTAAACATGAATCTCCTTGACCATGTTGACCTCCAGGGCAAGATCCAACCCATTACACCACAGGGGTTGTAGAGCACTGACCAGTAAGTCTACCTTCACTGGCTTTAACATTGTACTGCATTAGAGCCTGCTTCATCAGGAAATGTCAAGAGGGCTCTGGGATACTCAAGAACTCTATAGGCTTAGAAATTATTGTTATCTATTTGAAAATACCAAATAAAATCCAAATGGAGCCCAGAACAATAGTTCATTTCAAGAACTGAGGCAATTTAGACTTACCAAATCATTCTAGACTTGTGTTGGATTAATTTATTAACTCCTTAAAACACCAGTTAACAATGATTTCTATTGGTGATTTCTAATGAGACTATTGGTGATAGATGAAGCCTACATTTATCAATGAAATGATCTGCTTGTAAAACATCTTTGCTTCACCATTTGAAAGGTCTAATCTTACTAATAATAAATATGAAAGTTATGTCATCAACAGATACTTAAAGTCAAATCACAGCTGATCATCAGAAGCTTAAAGTCAAATCACAGCTGATCATCAGATGCTTAAAGTCAAATCACAGCTGATCATCAGATGCTTAAAGTCAAATCACAGGTGATCATCAGATGCTTAAAGTCAAATCACAGGTGATCATCAGATGCTTAAAGTCAAATCACAGGTGATCATCAGATGCTTAAAGTCAAATCACAGCTGATCATCAGATGCTTAAAGTCAAATCACAGGTGATCATCAGATGCTTAAAGTCAAATCACAGCTGATCATCAGATGCTTAAAGTCAAATCACAGCTGATCATCAGATGCTTAAAGTCAAATCACAGGTGATCATCAGATGCTTAAAGTCAAATTGCAGCTGATTATCGGATGCTTAAAGTCCAATTATCAATTGGAAAGTTGGAATAAATCACCTAGATAATAAAAATACCTATAATAACTTAAATACTCTAAAAATAGACAAGTGGACAGCCTTGACACGATCACCATGTTAATTGGAACCCTCAAGGAGAGCCATAGTAACAATAGCAACTAGAAACATGGCCTTACTTACCTTAATGAATGGCAATGACCAATGTAATGATTCAACCCAGACTACGAGCAGGACACATTGTCTGTATTGTCCATCAGGGCACTTTGATCTTTCATTCCGTTCAAAATGACTTATATTTCAAACCTTTCTATCTTTTTAAAATTTTTTTAAAGGAATAAGTATTTTGGTACTTCTTATATCAGAGACATGCAATGCTATCGTTGATGTAATGTTTCGCTGATTGTCAATCTCGTAAATCTCGTGATAACTGGAGTACCGTTCAAAGCAGCATTAAACCCAACTCACTCACTCACTTTAATGAGACTGCACTGAATGTTTGATGCATTGCAATATTCTGGTCCAGTCGAGTCTCAGAACTGACTAATTGGGACTCTGGACAAATTGCTATGATAATTGGTATCATTATCAAAATAATAGACGAAGATACAACAATCAGTGTCTAACCACAGAAACTTGATGATAGCGTGTATAACATAATATATTCGTATAGAGAAAAGATCACACCCCTCTATATACATAAAGACAAGGAGTGACACCCGCCATCTTGGTTCTTATTCAAGATTTCGCACTAGGTTCAAATCATAGCTCATTATCGCATGAAATATGAATGTCACTTATTTCAGCCTATTGGATCTTGCTAAACAAACATCAGGCTACACAATCGTGTTCATCTGTGGTCACCTTACCTCGTTTTTATTTTAAAACAACCATCAAATCTCAACCCTAAGCTTCACCGCCGAGGTAAACAAGAAAAAGGTAGCCGGAAATATCTACAGCATAATTAAACAATTCAAAGCAGATTATCATTGACGGTCTTGAAACCCTCCCACCCCACCTTGAAGATGCGCAGTAAAGCAGTGCGCATGTAAAGGGAAGTAACTGCATGCTATATTGGATCACATATGGGAAGACATTTAAAAAAAAAGAATTTTAAAAGGAAATAAAAAACGAAAAGTGCAGCAGACTTTATGATGATGCGGGCAGTGCCTGAAAACCAAGACTTTAAATATTTTTAGCCATACTAAATCACCTACCTTCTTCTTTGGTGGTGGAAGTGGGTGTTCTTCCTCAGAGTCATCCATGGACAGATCTGAGTTTCCTGAGTATGCCGAATCTTCAGGGCTCCATGGATGAGGTATCCTATCCAATTCGTTGGAATCATATTCATGTTCCAGGATTCCTGTCTGGAGGTCTAGCAGAGACTTGGTTTGTTTTGGCCGACTGTGATCACTGACAACAACAGTTGGAAGATTTAGTTTAAGATGAGGAACATAAGACAAAGAGTCCGACATGGACTGCCGGTTGTGATGCGACTGATTTTGGATCTGCAATAACTTATTGTCTATCACTGAGTCTTCGCTGGGCTCCTCATCTGGGTTATTCATGTCTACTGCTGAGTCTGCATTACTGGATTTGAAGCTGCACACACTACCGAAGCTACTCCGAGGACTGAGGGGAAGATGCTGAGGAGATGGCTCTTCATCCACTGAAGCTCTGGATAATGAATGATACTGAACATCATCATCCGGTTCTTCCGTAACACAAATAGTCACAGGGGGTTCCTGTGAGTTTATTGGCAAGAAATTGCATATATAAGGTGGGTTCGTTGGTCTGAGCACTGATTCGTTATTGGTTGGCACATTCCCATTGAGCCCATCAATGTGGGCTCTGGACAGTTCCCTACGAGTATCATGTTCATATGAAATACTGTGTTTTTGAGCACTATCAATTGTATGTCGTCCCTGACCAGCAGGCATCTTCCTGACATCTCTGTCTCGAACTGTCTGATTCAAATAGCTATACTGGTGTTGCTCTGATGCAAGAGTGTGTTTGCTGAGTGGTCTTATTCCACCACAATGTTTTTGAGCCTGTTCAAAGTGTTTCCTATCTGTCTCCTTTGCTTGAAGAACAGACTGTAACCAATTATCTAAACTGTGCATTTCGTCTTGATGATGCAAACTTGACGTCTGCTGTGCATCATCCACAGCAACTTCCTTGTGATAAACCATCTTGTTTTCATCTTCACAATACTGGTTAGGTGTATTTACTGACATTTTGGAAGCCCTTGCTGGGCTCTTGAGCATTTTGTGATGAGATTTCGATTCCCTGTGCCCATGTCCCCCAGCCACTGAATGCTTGGAAGCACTTGCCACATCAGTTTTCACATGTGTAGAGCTTTCGGGCAAGAGGAACCTTGAAGATGAGTAGCTTCTTGTTTTGTGGCTTGGTGAGGATGAACCAGAACTACCGGATGAAGAAACACTTTTGATCACTGTCCTAGAATTGACAGTGTCTGATGACTGCTGCGATGAAACTGGGGAACAGTTTGAGTATTTTTCAGAAAGCGATTCACCCGAAAATGAGTTTCTTTTTTGGCTTGCCACAACTGACAGTCTATCTGAGTGTGTAGCTCGGGATGATATTTGTGGTGATGAAGCACTATGAGATCGTTTGTTTCCACCAATGTGTGGAGATTTCTTTGGTGACCTACCTCTCAGCCCTGCAGTGATGCTGTAATCGACAGGCTGAACTGGATAACACTGTGACCACTGCTCGAACTTGTCCCTCACAGACTGAAAATCATAACCAGTTCTGCTCACATCATTGTGAGCTGTTCTCCTCTTAACACAAATTTGAAACGGTTTAGTCCATACTTCCGAGGGAGCAGGTTTATCAAACTGGTATGATTTCCTGACCTGTTGAATCACTTCCCCTTGCTCCTGACCAGGAGTAGACTGACCTTTGAGGCGACTCTCCATCAACAACCTCTCTCTCTGAACCTGAGTTCGACTTGGAGAGGGATCCTCCCGTTTCAGCCTATCCCACATTACTGATCTCTCTCTCTCCACCTGTATGGATTGATCAGGAGAAAGATCCTGTTTCTGTGAACCTGACATTTGTCTCCGAGGTTTATGAGTCTCGTGTGTCTGAACATGGAAGATATCTTTTGGAGTGTGTGTTTTCTTAGTGATACCATTTTGTACATTGGAATCACACAAACCTGGTGATGGATTTGTGGACAGGTCGTGCCCTCCCTGTCTTCTTTCAGTAACTGCCATTTGTCTCTGGGGGCTGAACACCTGGTGAATGCGATTGGAAGACAGGTTTTCTTGTTTCCGTAAAACTACACTCAATTGTGAACGCAAAGTCAACTCTGAAGACGGATATTTATCTTTTGTCTCAGGAGGATGTGTGGATTTTGAAGCACCCTCTCGAGATTTCCTTGAGGAAGAGTTTTTATCACTTGACATTTTAGCCACGACTGGTGCTCCATTAAATTATGTTTTCACTGTTTTGAGAATGTCCAAACTTTATCTTGTGTAGACTGAGACGGACACCACCTGAAACATAAATCAATCAGTTTGATACCTGCCGATTGTGGTACGTAATTTAATGACAGAGATGAAATATACTCAAAGGAATAAACAAGTGCCTATGTTCTTCTTAATCATATAGTGATATTTTAGAAAACTTCTCTCTTCTTTGGGGCACTGGTGGCCCAGTTGTCTAAGACAACGCAATACACTGTGCAGAGTTGCACCCCTTGGACATGTCAGAAAGCTAAGATCATGGGTTTGAATCCTGGTTTGCTCTAATTATGTTTCAAGGTTTGTCAGCGCCATACACATGCCCCTGGGTTTCATCAAGCCAGTAAACATCTGGGACCTGCATCACTTCAGACTTTCCTCCCACAAAAGCCGCCTCCGTGGTCTTGTGGTAGAGGGTCCACCCGGAGAGCGGAAGGTCCGGAGTTCGATCCCCGGCCGCGTCATACCAAAAGACGTTAAAAGATGGTACTTGTTGTTACCCTGTCTGGCGCTCGGCATTAAGGGGCTAAAACAAGGACTGGTCAGCTCGGAGTCAGTATACTGTGTCTGAGTGGGGTATTCATGTTAAACTGCGGCATGGTATCTCAGTGAGCTAGCACTATAAATCGGCATCAGTCCGGACTAGTACAAGCAGCCACACACACACACACGTGCATGCACGTCGCTATATAAGTGCAATAATCTTGGACGCGACGTTAAACCCAATTTCACCTCACCTCACCTCCCACAAAAAGCTCACATGCCTTAATACTGTTCAAAGCGGCATTCAACCAAACTCACTCACTCCTCTCTTCTCCTTCAGAAAATTTAAAACAAATTCTTGTTTATCTAGGCTGAAGATGCACACCGTTTTAAAGATCTTCATCTTTCAATTTCTGTCTAGCATTTTTTGTCTTCTTTACACAAATGAAGGAGAAACATCTAGTTATCTTCATTCCCCATGACAGCTGTGCATCAATTTAAAAGAGAGAAAAGACTTAGGAGTGTGTTTCTGTTTTACAACAATGTGCCCTACAACAGCACAAGTGAGTGTGTATGGCTTTACGCCGCTTTTAGCAATATTCCAGCAATATCACAGCAGGGGATGCCAGAAATGGGCTTCACACATTGTACCCATGTCGGGATTTGAACCCGGGTCTTCGGCGTGACGAGCGAACGCTTTAACCACCAGGCTACCCGACCGCCCCTAAAACAGCACGAAGCTGACCTGGCCTGTATTGATAAGAGTATCGTTGTGCACACAGGTTGGTTTGGTTTGTTGTTTAACGCCGCACTCTGCAATATTCCAGATATATGACGGCGGTCTGTGAATAATCCAGTCTGGACCAGACAATACAGTGATTGATATCATGAGCATCGATCCACGCAATTGGGATTGATGACATGCACCAACCAAGTTAGCAAGCCTGATCACCCGATCCCATTGGTCGCCTCTTACGACAAGCATAGTCACCTTTTAGGGCAAGCATGGGTTGCTGAAGACCTTTTCTACCCCGGAATGTTCACGGGTCCTGTGTACACGGGTAAAAGATCCATAAAGCCAAATAGTCCAATCATGCTTATGATGATGATTATCATGCGAATAAATAAGTGTGTGTTGCTGCTTGTGCTAGTCCTGACTAACGCCGACTTACAAGTGCTAGCCCACGGAGATGCCATGCCGCAGTTTAGCATGAATATCCAGACACAGACACAGTATACTGACTCAAAGCCGACCAGTCCTTGTTTTAGCCCCTTAACGCCGAGCACCAGGCAGGGTTTAACCAGGGGTCCGGAAAATTTAAAATCCCAATCGGACATTTGCATTTAGGCCACGCCCCCTTCAAATAGCGTATTTTAGTACGACTTTTCACACACATTACAAGTTTACGTATTCATAATATGATGAATTATGAATTGTTTCAATTTAAATTGTTTAATTCACCGGACAATTAATAACAAATAATATCATTTTAGATTTACATGGAAATCATACGTTTGTTTCTTTTATAATAACGATCTGTTAACGTAGTGAACGGTCTAATTAATATTCATGAGTTATATTCATGAGTCTGCTCAAGTGTACGCATTGTAACATTTGGATCGAGACTATTATCCCATATTTGGTTATCACGTGACCTCACGGGAAATTATTTTTTTTAAACTAAAGATTTTTTTAAAAATAAGACAGATAATTTAATCACAAATACAAAAATATCGTTGATAGCAATAGTTATTTGAATACTTTTTTCATCTGTACTTATTTATTGACCATAAAAAAATTGGATATCGATCGTCCGAGAAAGCAAAATGGCGGTCAATCAAGATTCAATATACGACTAGGCTAGCTACTGAAAACAATAAAATCTGCAAATCCTCATCGTATGTCAACCAAGTGAAAGTCGTTAGCCACGACTTACAAAATGATCGTCCAGACTTTGAGGGTTTGGCAGATCCGCTCGACTGATCTGCATCGGTCGACTGGCTGTCGTCACGCTTTCGCTTCTTGTCTGAGGTTACGTATCGTAGCATTGTGAGGATAATGAGGTACATCGATGATGCAAGGTATTAATGTACAGTTGTAAACACCTTTCACTCAAATTAACAAGATGTTCTCAGTAATTAATCCTCGATTAATCAGTGTCAACTCAGTTTATTGCCTATTACAGTGATTGACCGATTGGACTATCATGTAGGTACGATGTATTTACAGCAATCAAAACAAACAAAGCTTGTCAGTGTAGTTAATCTTCATTGTGTTGCAACTGCAGACAGAAACTGCTCAGTCCAAACTGTTGATCATGTCCGGTCAAAATTTAAGAATGTCCGGACAATACTTTTTAAAATGTCCGGTAAGCAATATTTTAAAACGGACATTTGAGATTCCCAATCGGACATGGCGCATATGACGGTTTCTGGACCCTTGGGTTTAACGTGTTTTAGTATGACGCGACCAGGGATCGAACCCCTGACCTTCTGCTCTCCAGGCACCACTAGGCCACGGAGGCTGTCAGTCCAAATAAATCAATGTTCAGACAGTCCATGTCACATTGCCATCACCCATCACTAAGTTTAGATTAAAACAAGGAAATCTCCATCATTAATAAGCATAAGGCATCACACCGAGGTTTCAAATCACAATAACCACTTCTGATCCATGAGCATTTAACCCCCGAAAATACCATGTCAACAAATCTGTGCAGAAGTCAATCCTGTTATCACACTGTCTGGATATAAAAAGGTTAGTTGTATACAGTCAAGTCTCGTTAATCCGACATCGTTGGTTGCACATGATTGTGTCGGATTAACAAGGTCGGATTAACGAAATTAAGTGATTTGTGATCGAAAATTGGATGTCTTCACGATAGATAATAACAGTGTGTACCTTGTAATAAAATCATTAAAAACGAAATATTTATATTGTTATGTTGTTTATTCCTTCATTCCTTAATGTATAATTGATGACATTGCAAAAATAATAATAATTTTCCCATTTATACATAACAATAGAGACATTACTCACTGAATCAACGACACACGTTTCCTCGTGTAAATGCAAGTGCTACTGTCTTAACAACTTGCTTCATCTACTTAAAATAGTCTGTCAGTGTTTTTAAAGTCCCCTGCCCGCTTGACGTCTAGGGCTTGTGGTTCTTAAGCATCAACATTGTCGAGGTGTAATTTCATTTGCTTTTTCTTATAATAAAGCTTGAAATTCTTTATGATCCCGGCATCTAGTGGCTGAATGTGCGATGTGGTGTTTGGTGGCAAATAGTGACATTTCACATTAGTTGTGTGGACAGTAGCATTGGATGGGGCGTTGTACAACAGCAATACCACGTGGCGTCGCTCCATTCGCATTTGCTGATCCAAGATCAGTAGCCAGGCTTTGAATATTAATGAAGTCATCCATGCTTTCTTGTATACATACCAGTCGACCATGGTGAGTCGACCATGTTTTATATACCTGTTCGTATTTTAAACTGGCTTCATGCACATTTATCTGGCTTCAATTTGTCAAAACACAGGGTTGTGTACTCCCGGGGAGATGACCACGGAGTACGCTGACCACTGTGTCGGATTAACGAGACTGATTAATGAGTGATGACAGAATTGATACATATCTGATATATCACACATCGACTGAAGAAAGCCTCTAACGGTGACTCATCAAACTGATCCATACGTAAAATATATTAGGCAATATGCTATGTCAAATAAAAAAGCACATTTGTTGTAGTTGGACTTTTGTATTTGCTTCATGTTGAATGGTCCATTCGTAAAACTATCTGGCAATAGCACTCAGCTGTAGGAAAGTGCTATGTTTATGGTTGTTATTATTTCAAATATATATAGCAAAAGCTGCAACAAAAATAAGTAGGTGCTGGAACATATTATTCCTTATAAAATAATAGTTTCAGATACAATTTCTTCTGTTCATTGCATCAAAATCATTTACATTACCGTATTCGACGTAATAAGCGCCCCGCTCTAATAAGCGCCCACGGCGATATTTACTAATATACTGGCTAGTGAACAATATCAGTTAGCACCCCTTCCGATTGATCAATGTACACAACACTAATTTATTCGCGTATAATACGTACTCGTGTGTTATATGCACCCTTAATTATGGGCAATTAAATTCTGGAAAAATGTATCTCTCGTATATAAACATTTCAGGCACGAAATGTATCTTTCAACTCTGTTTCTTTTTCACCCAAATAATATTCTAATAAGAGCCCCCTATTTCTAATTTTGAGAGCGCCCTGGGCGCTTATTACGTCGAATACCATTGGGTATTTTTTCACTGAATCACCGGTAGATCTGGGTGAAAATGTCAGTTCAGTTGGTTGCTCGTATTTCTGGCTTAGTTTACGAGAAGTCACTATGTGGCTGAAATAATGCTGATGCGACGTTCAATTTTAACTCACTCACTAGTTTACGAGAAAACAGACACTGTAATCTTAATCTCATATGAAACAATGCCTAGCAGAACAGGAAATGCAATTTAAATGGTATTCATCATGTCC